GAAGTATCTCATCATGGATTGCTTGGTGAGGTAGAATATATAGAATGGTGGGACCAAGGTTTTAAGGCTCCATTATCGTCATTATGGATTATCAACAACTGTCAATATCTAAAACGCCAAGAATTAAAGAGAATATATAGTATAGGGAGTTTGGACTAATCATTCAGGGTTGTTGAGTTGAGCAAGATTAAAGCATGATTATTTAGTGGATTAGTGGTTGGTGAGCTGGGTGATAGTGATGGAGTGTACTAGGTAGTGTTTGGGAGAGAAGCATGAGGTAAAGGTTGTAGATGCTGTCAATGTTTGCTTTTGCGTTATAACTAATTTTTAAAATTGTTTCCTTTTTAAATATTAAATTAATATTTTTTGTATAATTTTAATGTGTTAATATAAAAAATAAAAAAATATATATTATTTTAATATATTTTTAATTAAGACATACTTTTAAAAATTATTTTGCATCATAATATAAAAAAATACACCAGGAAATGATAATAAAAAAAATATTAAAAAATATTATTTTAATATATTTTTAATTAAAAATACTTTACATAATAATAATAAAAAACATACGTGGAAGTGATAATAAAAAAAATAAATGAAAATACCAATATCAATCTGTGTTTGACATCTTTGTTTAGTTATATAAAATGAGACAGGAAAAACATATAGAAAGTATTTAATTTACTTTTATGCATACTCTTATGTATTATATGCTTAGGATATGGATTTTTTTTTATATTATACATATTTTTTATTTTTTACTTGTGTTTATATTTTCTTACTTGTTCTATTTGTTTTCATAAAATTCAATTATAAAAAAATACATAATAAGTTTATACTTTATTTTTATGAAATAATTTACTTCAATATTAAAGTATATAAATATAAAGTAAAATATTATTAACAAAATAATGAATTAACTCTTAAATAATTCAAATATAAAACACAAAAACATATATTTATTGTATTATTTTTGTATAACATAAATAACAAAAAAAAATACAAACTTAATATAGTAAATTATTAGAAAATGATAAGCGAAAGAAAAGTAAATAAAATGTGGTGGGCGAGAATATGCTGGTTGTGAGATTGTTCAAAAACTTAATTTTCTTGTTTTTTTAATAAAAATAAAATATCATTGATAAACAAAGTCAACACACAATTCAACTTTAAACTTTTTTGTACCTAAAAATTCAATTCATCGTATATTCATATTCTAAAGATAAAAAAATTTAATTTTAGTGTTTTTAGTCAATTTAAAGTAATGTTTAATTACCATTTTGAAATAAAAAGAACGAAGACGGTATAAATAGAAATGTGTTTGATTATAGAGTCAAAGATAAATATATAAAAATAAATATGTTTATAAAATAATTTTAGAATGATTTTTAATATTTTTAAAATATGAGGTATAGAGAAAACATGTTTTATGAGATAATATTTATTATTTTTGGTTCTAAAATATTCTTGGTAAAAATTTTTAATTACAAAATTTTACAATAAAGATATATAATAATAAAAATAATTATTATTATAATTTTAAAATCCAACTTTGAATTTAATTTAAGACAAATCCTAAGTCATTTATCAAGGTTAGGGTCATAGGTCAGGTTAATATTATTCAACTTAATAATAAAAATGATTATTATCATAAATTTAAAATTTAATTCTAATATTAATTTTAATTTAGAGCAAGATCCAAGTCATGTGTGAGATTAATCATTGACCCGGGTCAATATAAAAATAATAATTATTATCATATATTTAAAACCTGACTCGAGAGTTAACCCAAGATAAAACCCAAGTCATGTGTTAGGAGGATCAACTCGAGTTGACTCGGTTTAACATAAAATAAAAATAATTATTATCATAATTTTAAATCTTTATTTTAAAATTAATTTAGAGTAAAGCCTTGATCAAGAATAAAAAAATTAATATAAAAATAAAAATTATTATTATTATAATTTTCAAAGTTTAGGTTAGTAGGGTCAATATGATTTGACATGAATAAATATATAAATAAAAATAATAATTATTATAATTTTAAAATTTAATTTGGATGTTGATATAAGATAAAATTCAAATTATGAGTTAAAAAAATTAATTCGACTAACTCGAGATTTTATATTTGTCAAAAAATTAATGAATTTTTTACCTTTTTTTCATTCATTTTATTCTAAAAATAGTGATAATTTTGGATTTTGTCTTCTTCTCACACACGCATATCCCTTCCATCTACCCAAACACTACCTTAAGGGCAGCACTCCCTTTATTTCAAGATGCAGATATTCATGAATCTCTCTCTCTCTCTCTCTCTCTCTCTCTGGGGTGAGTGTGGGGTGTTGTTTCTAGGGTAGGTTGTTATCTATTAATTTATTGGAAGCTTTATTGACAAAATAAAAATAAAAATAAAAATAAAAATTTTATGCATTTATCACTTATGACAGGCAAAATTGATACACTTAATGAGTCTCGAAATAAAACAATGAGATAGTTATCTTTAATCTTTAACATTTACCATTTTTTTGAAGGATACCTCATAATAAAAATTATAAATTTTAATCATTAAAATAAAATAATATCCAGAATTTAAAATTACCATTGGATTATACTTTTAAAAGATTCTGATTTTTTTAAACTTTAAATTATTTTTTAAGATATTTTTAAATTGTTTTGATGTGCTAATATTTAAAATAAATTTTAAATAATAAAAAATATTTATCATACTCTAAATTATTTTCCTCAATTATTAAGTCAAAATCTACATCAATTTGCAAGAAACCCTCATGGTCTTGAATTTAGACACGTTAATATTTGGATCTAAATCAATTTTTTTAAAAAATATTTGAGTAATTGAGAGTAAAATATAATGAGCAATCCACAGCATAATCACTAAAGTGCCTGACAAGCAAAGAATACTTTATTAAGTGAAAGCTAACAAAGACATGTTTGGATTTTAATTGTTGGAAAAGCAAAGCAAGGCGCCATCATTGTAGCAAAGCAAAGCTGCGGTGATATGCATTTTAGACCCGTGTTCTCTCTTTAATCTGGACTGTTGATCGTCTTGATCAGGCAAAACAATAGGGGCCCGCATGGATGTTGGTTAGGGATGAGGTTCTAGCAATTTCCAGAGTGATTCACAGGCCTTCACCGAGGTGGTCGGTCGTCGGTTGTTAGACATTGAAAAAAGTTACTGGGAGATGTATAAATAAATGAATAAAATATTTTATAATAAAAAACTGATGAGCGACCACAATTTTATTTATCCAAAATGCCATCTTGTATTTTGTATAAAAAGTTTAAAGATGTGAATTAGGATCAAAGAACATTGTTTAGAATTGATTGTGTTTGATGCGTGTTAAGCTATCATTTACTTTGAGAACTTGCTATCATTTATTTCAAAATCTCAACACAAGATCATGCCACTTGTTCTTGGCTCATATCCTTGAATTTTGATGATGATCGAGCAAGACACCACGCACAGGAGTTTTATTCATGAATGTTGATGATCACGTAATACACATTGCAAATGGGCTCCCTAAGAGTTTGAAGCGCTAATGAGTTATTCAATTATCGAAGAAAATATGACCGGTAGACATAAATACATTAGCTATTCAATGTTTTCGGCTTGGATTTTGGGTTAGATGATGTTTGATTTAAGTCATTGGATTTGTGGGTTTTAGTTTTTGTTAATTTCTTAATTTTTTAACGTTCTTAGAGAGAAACTTGAGAAGCAATTGAGCTGCAATAAGAAAAAGAAGGTGACTTTTGATTTGAATGTCAGAACCTTCGAGGGGTTATCAACTGAGGAAGGAGTTGCCAATAATGTAGCGAAGAACAATGTAGGAGTGAGAGGATGTGAAAACAGAGATGAAGAAGAAGAAAAACCATCAAACGGGAGCAAATCAGTTTCTGATGCGGTCACATCAAATGCAGTATCTTATACTCCAAAGAACAGATATCAAGATTGTGTTGGTGAAGAAGAAAGTGAAGATTTAGACTTGGAAGGTGGTGGTTTAAATTATGATGTTAAAGTTTTGATGCAGGAAGAGTCATCTGAGTCATTGTTTTCATTATCAATTGATTCAATAGAACAAGTGTATGAAGCTGGATTGGGTGAAAAGGAATTTACAAGTCCATTGCCAAAATGTGGATCACCACCAAAGGAGGAAACCAAGAAGGTAAGTGGGTTCGATAGAAACGCTCCAGTTAGGAGTCAGCTTGATGACTTCGATCGGAATCCAGTAGAAAATCTAACTCAATTAATGATAGTAGCCAAAGTAAGAGCAGCCTTAACATTGCAGCATGAAGGCAAGGCAAATGCTAATGTGGAGCAAGATTTTGACAAAATCACTAGTCCAGAGACTAGTTTTGAATGGACAAACTAGAGTCTGGTGGGAAGCACTCCTGCTTCAATTTTTGTGTTGCTTTGATGGCCTGTGCTATATGAGTTCTTCATCTAGTTTCTCTAGCAAGTGTTGGCTTTTAAGAGTTGAGCGATGAAACAAATCCTCCTTCTCCACCCCCAATGTGTGCAATAATCTGAGATTTTGTTGTAGTAATAGTTTTATCGAGGAAGAGAAATTATTCAGAATTATATTTTCTATATCTGGACATTGGCTGGCAATGCATGGCAAGATTGCTAGTTGCTCTGTTTCCAATTAGCTGCTGAACTGAACAGAACGAATTTGAGACTTCGAATACACTGAAGGATCTAGTCCTCAAGAAAGTCTGGCCTTCTGACAATTGATAGTCAAAATTGCCAGTGTTTGGATAAAGGGAGACAGTCAAGCTTTTGCAGTTAAGAAAATGCTGCTGCTTACAAGGAAGCCTCATTTTTGTCCAAAAAAACGTAGTTGAAAAGGTACACTTGCTACTGGTAGTACCTAGAGAAACAGTAGTCTTGCAAGCTAAGCAATGCTGCTTTAGCTTCTGGCGGACAACACGATACAAAGCCGTGTCAAAATTATATGGAAGAAGGCAACTTCACAGTTATAAAATTAATCAATGGACGTCGAATCAAGCTTTATTTAGCATTGAGTAGCTGAGATACATGTCCAGAGTGAAAAAAAAAAAGGAAAAAAGAGGGAGGAGAGAATGGGAAAGAGACCTTGATAACTTACAATTGTAAATAGGTGACTTCTATTATTTGCCTGCAGAAATAGATGGGTCAGGTACGGTCCTGGTAGGACTATTATGTCACATGGATTGCTGCTGAAATGAACGATTGCAAATTGTACATTATTTTGCTTAGCTTGCAATGGCTTTGCCAGCGTCACTGAACCTTTTGTATAAAAGTATGTGGACTTATCTCCTACAATATCTCCACGTCTCTACATATCATGGAACAACCTCCTTATCTGATCAACGTTTGCTGGCATCAATGTGACTGGGCAGCGGTTATACTGCAGCAATGAAATAAAATGGCATCATGGAATAAGTATATTTTGGCCAAGTAGGGCAGGAGAATTGGGAGGAAAACCAAGCTTGAAGCAGAAATATGGATATTAATGGAGAATGAAACTAGATTCCTTACCTGAGATAAATATTTGAATATGCAAGCATAACAGAAAACAAATCCTGAGATTGTAACAACCGAAGGGTTTGCACGCTTTTGGGAGCACAACGGGCAGATTGTTCTATCGAGTGGCAGTGGAATCCCCTCTTTGGCAACCTGTTTAATAATAAGGAGACCATTATGTATCTTTGAACCTTTTGGATTTTCACGTCTGGCAGAACCTAATACTAAGGTCATGAAGAGCTGAAAAATATTTGATAATTGTTGCAATTTGACATGCGAGAGACAGTTACATGAAAAGTAATGATTGAACTTCATTATCAACAACATGACATGATATATTTTCCCATAATCTCTATCATTAAAACACCATAGCTTTATTGACCAAATAAAAAATATAGGTGCTCATGCATAATTTTCTATTATTTAAAGTAGACGCTTCCATGGATTTACATAGGAAAAGGAAACCATTAATATAACACGAGTATGTGTGAGTTTGTTTGCATTAGGATGAGAGAGTTGGGGGGGGGGGGGGGGGGGGGTTGTGACCCCGCTATGAAATCCAAGACTGAAAAGCTCCTTTCTCACCTTCGGGGCTGGAGGTGGTGGGGGTGGGGGATACACTGTTGGAGCTGACATTCTCTCCTCAGCAGATTGGTACCACCACTCCATCATCTGCGTGGTTCACACTAACAAAAAGTTAATGCCAGTCTATACTTACTGTAAAGAGCAAAGATGTAAAAAGAAAAACGAAAATAAATGGACCATCAAATCATTGCTATTGCATGAAGTCTACTATCTTGACATTAAAATGAACATGATATAACAAGATATAAGCTTAGTTCTGAGAGGTTAGGGTCTCAAGACAAGTAAAGGCATGGAAATGAGTACAGTGGAACTTTAGGGAGTGTCAGATTTGATACAGTCCAGCTGAAATAGGTTAGATGCCAAAAACATTTTACCATTATTTTGTAAAAAGTTATCAGTTCAATTTTGGTTATAAAGGTAAAACTTTTTTGAAACAGAAAGCACTGTTCATCAAGGATCGTAAAAACCTGCAACAGTAAAGGATCACTGGTAATGTTGACTGGGAAGGGGAAGAGAATTGAGCATTGCTGGCATTAGAAACAATGACAACACGAACAACATGACATCTATGAGTAGCTACAGTTTTTGCAGACAATATTACTTGATAATGGACAACTCCCCATGCAGGTAAACCACACTCACTTTAAAGATGAACACTGCTGCAATTAAGCCAGTTTGTGCATAGTCAAGCATTGTATATGCACAGCTTAGCAATGCTCCTTGTAACGCCTGCACATTTATGATAGTATGTCAATATTCTACACTGGAAAACAGCTATACAACTATATTGTCAATTTCTGCAAACAGATACTGAATAGCAAAAGGTTCCACATCAAGTTACTCAAGCAACTAAATAATTTTAATCATTATACCTTCAACCATGGGGGGCCATGAAGCCTCTCACGTTCATTGCTTCGTATCTTTGAAATTCTAGAAGTAGTGTCCATCTACCTTGACATCAAAACAATTGGACAGAGCACTAAGATAAAACAGCAGCAAGCACTATATTTGAATATTTGTATTTCTGAATCTATGTATTTCTGAATACTTATTGATAAAAATAAAAGTGTAAATTCTCTATTCTATTCATATCTAGTACCAGCTCTTGCCCTGTAGCTCGACAAACATGAATCCCAAGCGCATGTAGTCCTAACGAATAGAACCCAGTAGCATCCAGCAAATATAAGAGCTGATAAGCAAATGACATTCCTGCATTGCAACACTTCAGATCAGATTGGACATTTTGACAAACACAAACTATTTCCAACCAAACATGAAGACAGAAACCGGTTTGGCACACAACAGCATGGTATAAAAGTTTCAGAATAATGATCAGGATACTGCATTGTAATATTCTAGATTACAATAAAAAAGGCTGTATTGTTGGTCCAGAGCCTTGCTTGGGGTTCAGTAAGTAGTTAAGGGAAAGGATCTTCCAATTGACCAGTAAAATATAGAACAACTTCAGTACCCAATACTGGAAACATGTCACAAATTTGTCAGAAGATACCCTAATTGGATTGCTGAACATTAGAATTCCCTTACAATACACAAAAAGTTACAACGGCATTTGTGCTTCTAAAATTATTTAATATCTATACATAAAGGAGCATAAGGAAATATGTTGAATGTTATTGCAATAGATGAAACTTGAATACAGCTTCTTCATGATTGATGTTTATGTTCCATGAAGAATACAGACATGAAAACTTTACATCATCATGTTATGAATTATCCAACTTTCCTCAACTGCAAGGTCTTACATTTGACTTGAAAGACTAGATTAACAAGTACTATTCGAATGAGGACAAAATGAAAACTTTACCTTCATTACTAGCATGCAGCCATGGGTAGCAAACAAACATAATTTTCTGAATTTTCTTCATCAAACGTGCTCTAATTGTTGTTTCTCTAGAAACAAGAGAAGCCTCCCCTCCACTAAAATATTCAGCATCTTCAACTGTTTCATCACCATTTCCCCACAAACTTGCTTGAAGCCTGGCTTCCCTTTCTTTGTTATATATTGAATACAATTTTGACTTGAAATAAGGCAACACAACCTGGCAAGATGCATAAAAAAGTCATTAACTTACATCATAATGGTTTGAAAGTAATTTACTTATCATGATACCATTTATATAGAGTGAAACTAGGTAACAGTTACTGTTTATAAACTTGTTTCAACTACCCTTCACAATGTTATGAGGAAAACAACTTCAGGGAAGAAAAATATATCAGCTAAAGGAAGGAGGGGATGGTACCAAAAATACAACTGAAAGAATTCTTTGGTGCTTTTCTAACCCTGAGTGCTGAATTCCATCCCCTGAGTTTGGACGTGCATCTTCCTTCTTTACTCTTATGTTCGCTGTCCTTCTTCGCAATCCATATAGGGATTCTGAAAAAGAAGCATCTGAAGAGGAATATACATACAAATTAATGAGCCCTATGCAACAAGTAAGGAACAACCTTAGTAGTCCAACTTAAACAAACAGCATGCTCCAATTTAGAGACACAGCGCAGCAATTTAAGAAACAAAATTAAATCAAACCATCACCACAACCATGTACCCAACAAAGTCTTATTAACAGCTTTCACACAACCAACCAACCATCACCACCATGACGTACCCAACAAAGTCTTATTAACAGCTTTCAGACAACCAACCCTCCAACGTCACTTTGGAAACATACCCGATCCCATTTAACCAAATGAGGATTAACCTCGTCATCTATTCTTGAAAAAAAAAATGAATATCTCTAATATTTACTTTCTATATCACCAAGAGAGGTTATAAACTCCAACAAATCCAGGGAGGGACAAACAATGGGATTAAGCAAGTTACCTAACTCACAGAGCACATAACATGTCAAGGGGAAGGAAATAAGGTTAGTTCTTGAGGCATGGGGACACAGAGGACAAATCATCATCGCGTGTTGCAGGGGTTCAATATTAAATGTATGACAAAAAATCAAATAGATAAGAATAAAAAAGGAATCAGTTAACGACACAAAACATGAGCATATGAACTAGAAGGATAGAATCTCCAGTCAAATAAGAAACAAGAGAAAACACAATCAATCACCCACTCACTTGGTAGTAGCAATGGCAATAACATAAGCCAAAGTTAATGTGAGCATGCAGTCAGATTTATTTATATAAAAAAATGCAAATGGAATTATCAAAGAAACAGCAAGGCCATGGAAAGACGAAATTAAACCTGTAGTCCGCAAGCTATGAGTCTCAAGGACCAACATAAGCAATGAAAAGAATTCATCTTCATGGTCCAACACCTTATGCAGAAATGGTCTTCTTAATGCCAATACCTTCAAGACGACAAATCCACAATATTCAATAATGCAAATATTCAAAGGAAACATAAGCACGAGTCAATCTTTGAATAAAAGTAAGTCAAGTAATTGCATCTTACCAAGAACATAAAAAAAACACCGTTTTTTTAACATTAAAAAGAGAGACTTGATTAACACATGAACTTGACAAACTCAAACAAAAATGAGAGAATTAAGAGAAACCCAGATGAAAATCTCAAGTGGGTCACAAAAATATCAGCTTTCCATCCCTTAAGAACTTGAAAACTTAAGTGGGCAAACAATTATACGCAAAACGAGAGATATGGACATGTAGGTATGTATAAGTATGGGCAAACAATTACACCGATGGAGTAAGTAAGGGCAGCTCGGAGACTGGCAGGAAGTTGTTGAGCAGCAGCCATCTCGAAGAAGGTGGGACGCGTCCCTTGTCCTCCTACTTGAAACAACATCTTTCTTGCTTGCTTTTCAAATTTCTCAGTTCGGGTTTCCTGAGGTTTTATAACAAGAAGTCTTTTGGACTCTGCAGTTCTTATCTTCACTCTGTGCTAGCACACGAATAAGGGTGCGTTTTTTTTACTATGACAGTGAGATGGTTTACAGTGATTTTTTATTTAGAAATATATTAAAATATTTTTTTATTTTTTAAAAATTATTTTTAATATTAATATATTAAAATAATTTGAAAATATAAAAAAATTTATTTAAAAAATTTAAAATTTAAAGAAACATCCTTAAAAAACATTGTTCTTGTGTTGTCGAAGGTCAATTTTTTTTTAAATTAATGTTTTGTTTGTTTCTGTATTTTAAAGTATTTTAAAAAAATTAAATTATTTTTACTTTTTATTAATTTAAAATTAATATATTTTTAGTATTTTTAAATTATTTTGAGGTGATAATATCAAAAATAATTTTTAAAAAATAAAAAAATATTATTGACATATATTTTAACATGAAAAATTATTTAAAAAATAACTACAACAACACTTTTAAATAAGTAATTACTATAAAAAAAGAATAATATTATTTAAATATTTATAAATATGATATTTAAAAAACAAACTTCAATGGCTAAATCTCACATTAATTTATTATAAATATATTATTTATGTAATTAAATATCATAAAGTAAATTGATAGTGGAAGGGAGAGCACCTGTGTTTTTTTTTCCTTTCTTTTTCTGTATAGCATATAGTTTAGTGCATATTCATTTAATGAATCTCAGTTTTTATTTTTTAAAATTATTTTAATATATTGATATTAAAAATAATTTTTTTAAAATAAAATAAAATAATATTATTTTAATATACTAATATCAAAATTTTATTTGTATTATTTCATGTTTGAAAATAAAATACATTAAGATAATAATTTTTACTTATAAGCATGTGGTTTAACATTAAAAACAAACTTACATATATAATATTATAATATTATTTAGTATGTTTGGTATTGTAGTATATATGAAGTGTTTTTTAAAAATATGTTTTTGTTTAAAAATATATTATTTTTTTATATTTTTTATATTAAAACATTAAAATCATTAAAAAATATTAAAAAATATCAATTTAATATTTTTTTAAAATAAACACATTTTTTAAAAACATTTAAAAATAAAAATTATATCACTCTAAACCAGTTTCTTGTAGAATGGTTTAGACCATGGGATTGAACCATCACATTGTGAGCGAAAATTTCCTCCTACTCAAAAGTAGGTTTAACATTCAAATGAGTTTTTATCCCTTTTCTACTATAATTTTTTTTTTCAAATAATGATGACCATTCATTTCTATCTAAATTTATATATATTAAGAGAGTAAATTTCTTTTTTCATACTCAAATGGTAACTTTTAATACTTACTCAAATGGATACAAGAAAAGAAATAAATTATTTTTTTAATTAATTTTGATGAGATCAAATATAATTATATCTCATTTTATTATATCTTTCTCCTATATAGAGTAAATATTGCTTCATATTTGATAATTCATTTGTTATCTAAATGATAGTGTTTTTTTATTAAAAAGAATGTTAAATATTAGGAAATATAACAAGAACAACTTCAAGATCATGATTCAACTGACTTGTGTGTGTGTAAAAAAAGTTGTCATATAATTGTTTATATATATATATATAGCATTAATCAATTTTAAAAAAGATGAGAAACTTGATTTTAGTAGAAACTATGACACGACTAAAAGGTTGATGTCTTCTCCCAAGTGCAGGAGTGTCGAAGTAATAAATAACCCGGCAAGACCGGGGTCGAACCACAAGGAGGTTAATTGTACAAATTATAAACAACAATAATAGCAATAACAACAATAACTATAATAATAATA